AAATATCTAAAATTCCCCAAAAATGCGCCATAGTATATGAAAAAATTTCTATTAATTCTTGATGCTGGGGAAATCTAGGAAAAAAGACTAGAAACTGATAATTCATGATAAAAAAAACTATACTACAGAGGAAACTCTTATTACGTTCGATTATGTAAAGATATGAAAACGAAATCCTCTGATCACAAAAATAGATTATAAGTTCCGATGGAATCGATTAAACTTATATCATATAGATTTCGATGAATTCACTATTGTAACCGCGAGATTACGTCAAAATCCTAATACCCTAGATTCTCTAGCTGATTTCGATAGACACCAGTAAAATGTATGTGATTAGTATAATAATTTGATATCGAATAAACCGATTGCAACATGTACGAACAGAATGGACTCAGTTGCTTAAATGAAAAATCGTAGGAATCGACTCTAGATTTGAAATCTTTTTATTAGACAAGTTGTTCTATAGGACACTTTTGTGATTCCATTGGGAACTCTGGCTCTAACGTACAAACTGAGCTTTGGAAAGCAATTCAAAAATTGGCCTGGAATCTTTCAGAATGATCCCTCGGGTTTAACTGAACGATAGTCTACAATAAATGATTTGCTGTAGCAGAATATGCTTCGGTTTATTTAAAACTTCATAGAAAAGCTTCATCATGTGAAGTGAATTTCATCCAGTATTACGCGGTAACTGAATATCTATCCACTTCATAAAAAAACCTTTCAAAAGTAGTAAAAAAATCTTTGTGAAAGCTTCTCGTGCGCCTTGCGGTTCGTATAGCGAAGAAGCACATACGAAAGATTCGTGTCTTCCTAAGGAAGTTCTCGAATCTTTTTCTTCTTGTCTTCAAAGGACTCGTTGTGGAAATCTATAGAAGACTGTATCCTGATTTCTGTTGAATAAAATCTATAGCCCTTTATGTAATCTTTTAATTAATTTTCAAATCAATTCGATTATATTTCCCATGGCTCGTGGATTAGTTTTGACCATCTTTCAATAATTTATCCAAGTATATTTCTGGAGAGCGCATTTTAATTCTTACATAGCTTTAGGGTGTTCAGTATGTGCTTCAAAATTACCCTAAGAGGACTTCAATTGATCAGATACTTCGTGATATTGGTCTCCGAAAGTATCGTGATTCCAATCAAAATCTTGATTTTGTCAATGGTCGAATGAGCGCGATTTGAACAATTCAGGCAGTGAATTTCCTTTGATACTAAATCTCCATGAGATTCCACTGCTGCCAAAATAACTGCATACTAGCAAGGTTTGTTAATGAAAGATCTATACTCATAATATCGGAAATATTCATTTTGCCGTGCATCTCATCTCGTAGTACTAATGAACTCATCGATAGTGTACTCATTTAAACTCATTATTTCCAACTACTATATTGAGTTCAGACGTACACATACTAAGCAACTGAAGCTAAATAGATGTGTTGTCGCTAGAAACTATGTAGAATACAAGACCAAAAAATGTGGTTTTCGATAGCATTCTCAGCAATAGTTCAGCATTTTGGGAAGTGAGCAATCTGTTTTCAAAGAATTTAGGTTAAAAGTCTTAAAACTCTTAGTTCTAAAACTTATTTAAAATCAAAAAAGCGTAATAACGTTCATTGAAGACAAGTTTCGTCATGTCACATGAAGATTGACTTATAGAATAGCATAACCGAACTTTTGTGTTCTACTCAGTATTTTTCACATCATTTCTTTTCATCCAAGAGGAAAGGCAGATTCGTGAATACCCAGCTGCACTGTTTTATCATTCCTATTTCTATGTGATTCTCGTATCGTCGATACGTTGACAACCCGGAGGATCCAATGGCGATCCATACAATCCAGTGGATACAACGGGAGCCCAGACAATCCGACGATCCTCTTTTTCCCCCTTTCCGACACCACACCCACGCCTCACACCGAAACCACACTATGCCCACACCCACACCATTTTCAATGTACGAATCCTATTCGATTTCAAATTATTTTTTTTAAATTCATTAAGAACAAATGACCGGGAACAACAATTATCTTAGGTATAATTATCACCAATGTTTGTTTTTGAAATTACCGCAGATCGAAGATTCCAGCCACCGGATTCCGCAGGAGCTTGCAGGAAAAATGTGGAAAAGTTACCGTATCCTGCAGAAAAACACCGAAAATCGCTGGAACATAGAAGCAGTATTCCGGTCAAAAATTGGCCGAATTTTTCCGGTGAATTCCTGCCAGCTTTCCGGTAGGAATCGACCGAGAATCATTGAAAAATTTCAGACCAGAATACTGCTTTCATTTTTCAGCGATTTCCGGTGTTTTCCTGCCGGAATCGGCCTATACTTCTTGACCTGGGACTTGAAATGTCAGTTAATTGTCAAACGATTGTAGACTTTGAAGGTTGCTCAAAATGTATTGACCCATAGTGTTCAATTTAGTCAGTGGGGCACGCTGCTTCCAAATGATTTGAATCTCGATCGGGTCGAGCCATCGATCGAATATTGCAACATCGGCAATGCGTCCATGCCAGAAATTTTCCATTGTGGTCTTGACACCAATATGCAACGTGAGAGGCATTTGCATCTGTTGATCTTGCCATCGTTCTTCATAGCGATAGTATTGCGGAAAATCAATGACACCATCACTTCTTCGAGTCATATCAACATTACACTGAAGTTGACCATCAACAAATAATTGCTGCTTATTACGAGACACTTGAGCTACAACATGATACCAAGTGTTCTTCATCATACGATGCGGAGCCCCACAAAAGAAATGTACGGAACCGTTTGATATCATTGCTTGATTTTCGAGTACACCACGAAGATTGACACCCAAATGAAGCCAAGCATTGAATGGATGTTGCCAAGAACCGATAGCTGTTCGCCAACTGATGCCTCCCGGATGCGTGTCCATGAGCCACAGCGATACACAAAATGTATCTGTTTGATATTGTCGAATATCATGAACGGGAATATTAATCGACGAACGACCATCGAGAAGAAGACATGAGCCGAGAAAGCATGTTTCTTGTTGCGGATGACCAGTCAGAGAGAGCCGACCATCGCTGGTGATACCGGTCGAATCGTGTCCTAATTTCGATTCATTTTCAAACTGCCAATGACCGATCATATGGATACGGCAGAAACGAGCAAAACGTTGTTGACAGAACCATTCGTCAATGACAATTGTCCGCCAACGACGACAAGTGCGCGAGATAGTGAATAGTTCGGACAGAGTTCCGTCGATAAAGAAGAAAATTTTGGTGATAATTTCGTTAGGAAGATCATCTATTGAGTAAGTCATGAAATTTTCACGATATGTGGATCTGAAAAGCCAATAAAATGTAATGATGACACATAGTTTCTTTTTCTGTGCTCTTCAAATATATTTTATTATCAGTGACACAAGTGAAAGAGAGCACAACTTTCTACCAATGAGTAAGAAGCAAGCAGGCAATGATATGAGATAATCGAGTCTAAATCGTTAACACAATGTGGCATTATCTGATTTGAATATGGCTGAACACTTTTTAATCAAATGTCATCTCATAGATTATATTCCGAACGCAAAAAAGCAATTTTGTATTCTATGATCTTCCTACATGCTAAAAATCACCTTTGTGTTCATGAAAAGAGAGTGTATTCTTCGCTGTGAATATATTTCTTTATTCAATATCAATAAACTGAATGTGGGTTAGGAGACTATCGACACAGCCACAATCACATTTGATGGTCAAAGGCAGAACGTAAGGAAGGATGAAGTAAGATTTACTTTATGCTCGTGCAAAAAAATTGCCGGGATTGAAAAGGTTTAAAAAGGTAAATTTTCTCTTAATATTTTTTGACAAATGCGACTAAGTTTCTAAGCTATTATTAGATCATTATGAGAGTATTCAAGAACAGAACCCTTGATTGTTGTGAAATATGATCTAAAAGAAACCTTGAAGTATACAAGGTCGACAATTGTGTCCTCCCCAGACCGTGATAAATATTGTTGATATACAATCATAGACTGTTTATCAATAACGTCTTGTTATAATATTATAAACTAATTCTTTATTGCATCTCCAGAGGATCTCACCAAAAGATTGTGAAGAATTGTATTCCAAAATAGATAGAATAAAACAATTTCTTTGTGATTAGCAAGAAGAACTACCTTGTGTTTTACACTATAATCCTGCAGGAATTACGCTAACAGCTTTGTGTCAGTATTTGATTTTTAACAATACATAGGGAAAACTGACTTGTATGTCTAGTTGTAGCAGTTGCTGAAGTTGAACGATTTAAATGCTTGTTGACGTTCGCGGCAATCTATTAAAAGCAACTGTGTCTGCGTTTGTTTTGCAATGAAAGAAAGAAGTCAATAACGTTGATCCTTTGCTTGCTAAATTGAGTACTTTTTTGTATTACTTGCATATAGCTTCTAGTTTTATTTATTTGACACACGCTCGATTATTTTCCTCGCTGGTTTTTTTCTTCAAAGGTAAGTGAGAAAGATACGTAATTATTAACGATCGTCGTTACTATTTATTGATGTGTGTAAGTGTGTGTGTATGCGTTTTTTTAATTTTTTTCACTCTAGCATTCACACGCGCAACTAAAAATGCCTTTGCAACATTCCTATTTAGATATTAAAGTATAATTAAAAAAATATCGTATCTATGATGTGATTAATCGACCCTAGTTAATAGTGTACTTAAAAATGTTTTATAGTTGAACGAAATATCTATCGAGTATGGTTTTGGATTACAGTATATCTTATATAAAAACTTGCTCAATTAAAAAAATCCTTAAATTAAAATTCCTACTTAATCACTTGAATTAGCCTAAATCATTGAATTACTCATAAAGGTGGATATGATTTAGGAAGCCACAACATCTGGTAAATAATAGGTATTCGTTTTTTTTAACGAAAAAAACATTATTCAAAATCATTTGACATCAATACGTATAACAGAATATCAACAGAAAACTATCATAGCAATTATATCAATTGGCAAACTCTTAAAATAGGATATGTATATTACGATAAAATCTTTTAATATAAATTACCCATAGATAATTCAAAGAACCCCGAATTAGTTCAATTTGACTAGCATCATTTGAGAATACATTAGTTATCTCACCTGAACTAAATGCATTTAAACAACTACTTGATAAACGAAGAACCTAAATAAATACTTTTTTTAATTTATACAATCAAATATAGATTCCTTACTTTACGATAGATCAAACCATGATAATCAACACGCATCTCCATAGCAAATATTTCAATTAAATAATACAACTAATAAAACGTTATTGTAAATACGAATATAAAGAACAATTTACTTATTCTATGATGGCAAAAACTTTTTACATAAAGTGGCTAAACAACTACGAATAGCAAGCACACATACTAATTCAATAGACATAATAGAACATGGCTCAAAGAAGTCCATCAAATATATAATTAATAATGGTTGACTGATAATTGTTAATTTCTATATTAAAATATTAATTAAAAAAAACAAAGTCGATTTAAAATGCTTGCTTACTAGAGAAATAAATAAAAGACCGATAATGAGTGGTGTCCATCCAACAGTATAAATTGTAGCACGAAAGCGACTTGGCTTATTCGGATATTGTTTTAATTCATCCAACCAATGATTTTCTAATTTTTCGAAAAGTTTTTTTGATTCATATTTAGGAAGAATATGATAAAGATTATTTAAATAAACTGTTCCTTATCTATGACTTATATTAATTAATTTTGATATCCAACTAGAAAAAAAAATAAACATCAATGGAAAAACAAAATTAAACTTAAACGAAAAGATTTACTTGTGAATAAGTTGTGACCATTTATTAGCATATAAAAATGGATTTGAATTATTTTGATAAGATTTCATCTAAAATGATTGCTTTTAGTATTGAGATGACAAAAAGAAATGGTGGTCGTCAACCAAAATCAAACAATTTTTGTACAAAAATTGCGAAAAACAATCTTATTGTGTTGTATAACATTTCGAACACTATTATATCACAATAGTTGAATTATCGAAGGTTAAGCTACGATTTGACATGAGTTGCGTTACTTTAATTCTTTAGTGATAGTTCCTTCCAGAAAGCAATTTCAACTTTTTTTTCGCATTACGTTTCTAATTTATGACACTGCGAAGGTCAAAAATAGATGAATAAATTACCTTGGATAGGCAGAGAACAAAACAAAATAATAATTAAATTATTTCACAATTACAAAAGAACTGATTTTTAAATAAACTTGTTTGAGTAGTTTTAAATGAGGAGAGAATGAAATCTTTGCATTAATTATTTTCTCAATAATATACAACGAAAGAACATCGTTGGCATTGATTAGTATAAGTGCCAATAGAAATCAATGTACAGCTAATATGATATTGACATGCTGCCATCTATAGTATCGTCAGACCAGAATATTAAAGATTCAGATCTTGTTAATATCTAACTGAATTCAGTTATAACTATTGCAGTCAGAAAATACATTGAAAGGAAATTTGAATTTTAGAAATTTGATTTCTTACTGAATGGAACGGAAAATTGTCAATTAATGTAGTATACAAGAATCAGTGCTTGAGACCATGTTTCGATGTTATCATTGAGAATGTATATTAAAAAAAATTGAATCTAATTAAAGAAAACAATTGTTCATCAACGAATTAATTCAATGAATTTTTGATTATTTATTTAATTCATTGTGATTATCATAATTAATAAACTTTTTACCATAATTCGATAAATAACTCTAGTGATTGTTGAGTTTCATCATGTAGAAATCCTGCTTTTTTTTGCAAAAGAAATATTATTATAATAGTGCCATTGTCAGTCGAACCAGATCAGATCATCAAAAAGTGATCCGATTTCGAGGTCTCTTACTTAGTACATTCATTAATGAAATGTAACTAGTAAATTTTAAGAAATATTCATTAAAAATTATCCCAATATTAGATCAATCAATCTCAAAATTGATTGAATTTTCTTGAGGGCGAGTATACTATTTCAAATCATTCTAAACTTGAATTTGTACAAATTCATGTGAAAAACAAATTAATCCGGAAACCAATACCATATCAGTGTGCATTTGTCATTTTAAATTGTATGTTGTTTCACGATTTCTACAATATTAACTTGCCATTCATACGGGAATGTTATTTGTAGAGAAATATTACAGTGTAAAAAGTTTGAAAAACAGCTGGCAAACTGAATTTTTTGAGTCACCAGTAGGTGTGACTGCACTTCTCACATCTCTTTTTCAGTACGTGGTGTACATCTTTGATGTCCGTCATAGATTAGTCAAATAATTTGTAGTAATTTAAGAATTTTTCTTCTCTTGTTTATTGTATACTGAATCGATCTCGATTTCATCTAACAACGATTGTGTACATGATAGGTATACTTGCACTCAGCAGATCTGATTCAAAACTTTTCTATGTATATTAACGATCATCAAGTTAATGCTCGTGCGGATACTTTAGTTTCAAACCTTTAGATTCAATCAATAGCAAGAAAGACTTAGTCACCTATAATAAAATAGTGTAAAAAAAATACGAATTAATAGTAATTTTAGGGACCATTCATAAACAACTTTCATATAACAATCGCATTTTTTTTATTGTCTCGAACGTTCAGATTTATTTGTAGATGATGCGTCATAGAATTATGAGAAAACTGTTTTTTTCCAAAATGCTGTTCAAGATCAATTTATCTTGAAAATTTCGTGAGTTATGTTGAAGACGTGAGCAAGAAATTGCAATAGGTATCTAAGTGATGCAACTTTTTCTAAACGTTCATTATAGCTGACTCCTAATTTATTCATTCTAGACAAGAGAACAACTTCATCAATCAATGCATTGAAAGATATTGAATTTGATGAATAGTCTTAATCTATTATTGAATGTCGTTAGTATAAAGATGCAATGAAAATTCGTCTAAATGATCATTATCAATTCGTAATTGATAATAAATCTCAATATTTACTTGAAAATCGTTTTGAATTTGGATGATACAGTTATTTATGATTATATTTATCGACAAGAAAAAAATATCCGAAAAAGTAACTAATGAAGATTTACCTTATGAATTTATTCATCTATTAAATGAAACTATAGCTATCATTGAAAAACAATAATTACTACTTGAATGTGAAACATAGATTTTTGAAAGGTTAATCAGTAAAATTAAGTTGTACATTAAATAAAGAAAATTGCCAAGTTATATGATAAAAGGATGCCGATGACGATAATCGATTTATAGTCATAAATGATGAACAAATTTATAGATTAGAAATAAAAAAAATAAAAAAATGATTAATATTGCAATGTTTCTACTAAACTTGACGATAAACAACAACAACCATATTCGGTTTTTATTACTGGTAAATTAAATTTTCTTTTTTCTTTTTTAATTCATTAATTTTTTTGTTTAATAGAAGTTCTAAGCGATATTAATTATTATTTCATTAAGTGATACAAATTGTGTTGAAGGAAAATATGAACTTCATGGAGATGTGAGTGTCTTAATTCGATAAGCACCACAAGAATATGAGCATTTACAAGTTTTTCGAAATAATATCAATTCTATCTTGTCTTGTTGAATTACAAATAATTAACATTCTCATAGTAATCATCACAATAATTACTAATATCAATTTGTTTTGACAATTTTATCTGCAACTATCTAAACGGTGATCAAATATCG